CTTCTAGCGGCCTTCTGGGTGCAGGCCTGGGGCCCAGAGGAGTGAGTCGGTGGGGAGCCTGTCCACACTTCATGAGCAACTCCCTCAGGGTTCAGATCTAGGAAAGGTTTCCCTTTCCTGAAGTCAAAGAGCCACGTGAGCTCTTCATACTTATATCTCTTGGTTTCAGGGACACTCTCAGAAGCCCTACCCCCAGCCGGGTAGTTCACGCCCGAGCCGCGCTCCTTGGACTCTGCATTTACTGAGCGCTCTGTATGGCCGCCTGGGCTGGAGGCCAGAGTGCCGAAGTGGGGAAGAGCGGGCTAGAGGCCAGGGGCCCGAGGTGGGGGAGAGCGGATGAGATGAAGTCTGAGCCTGCAAGAACTCCTGGAGAGGTCCAGTCTCAATGAGCAGTTGGTAATGGCTGAATCCCTGGACTGGAAACACACCGGGTATACCAGCGCCCAAGATCCTGCTGTCCTGGGGGACTGGTGAGGAAATCGTGGTGTGATGAGACCCTGTCCAGGGACCTCGGTCCTTTCCTCTTGTGCCTGTACACCCTCTCTCATGAATAAAATAAATAAAAGAATTCCCTGTTTTGCAGGCTATGGCAGAATATAAAGTTAGGAACTGTAGACATGAGTGCTGGAGTGAAGTGTGCGCAGGTGCTCTGAGCACAGGGAGAGGACAGAGTGACCGATCCAGCCAGGGATGGGGTGGGCGTGATACGTGGACAGGAGGCCAGGCATGGCTGCTTGGAGGAGGCAGTGCCAGAAGGCTGACTGGTGGGTTTGCTGGGTAAAACATGGGATGCCGGAAACATTTGAATTTTGAATAAATGCATACTTTAAGTATGAGTGTGTCCCATGCAACACTGGGACACACTCACCCTAAAGAACTATTTCTGGGGCTGGGTGGTGGCACAGTGGTAAAGCACGATGCACTGCTAGGCTGACCTATGTGGGGAGGTTCCTGGTTCACGTCCAGAGCATCCCCGAGCATGTGTGGGCATGTGTGTGCCCGTGCTCTGGGGATGGTTGAGGGTGGGCCTAGCCCTGTCGGGGGTGCCACCTCTGTTTCTTTTCTCTCTCACTCGTGGAAGAATTGAATAAATAGATTCTACAAAAAACGTCTTGTTTATCTGGAATTCACATTTTTCCGGGCATCCTATGTTCTTATTTGCTAAATCTGGAGTTTTAGGAAGGTGGAGGAGGGGATCACGGACACAGGACACGGCATGAGCACGGGACTGGGCGGTTGGTGGGAAATGCTTCCTGAGACTGGAGCCTGGGGGGCCAGAGGGAGGGCAGACAAAGCTGGGAGGGTTGGGGGGCTCCTGCTTGAAGGCTTTATGCTCTTGCCAGAGAAAGATGGAGTGTGTGAGAAGTCACCCCTGGGGGATGGCCACGCCACAGTCTCTTTCCTCCAGTCTCCTCTCAGGATTTTTGGCATGCACACACACATGCCCGGCGTGATTTTCAAGCCACCAGGCCCGGGACTCACAGGGCAAAGCTGGCTGTGGGATCCAGCACCTTAACCTCCATGTCACCTGCTAGTCCCTGAACTTTGGAAGTGCGCTGTATCTGTGGAGACGGTCATTGGAAGGAACCCACCGATGGTGTGCTCACGGCACAGAATGGAAGCAGTGGGCTGGGAAGGCGCTGCTCCTCCTGGTTTTTCCAGGGCCGGGAAGGTGGAGCTCTGTGTGTGGGAGGAGGTCACCGGGCAGCCACCTGGGAGGCCCTCGGTGGTCCTGCCTGGCCTCACGCCCGCTCTCTTTGAGACAGAAGCCACCTCCTGAACCTGGTGTTAGGAAGCAACAGGGAAGCCCCTCTGACCACTTGTACAGGCAGCTGGCAGCCGGAAAATCGGAACTTTTTTTTTGAAATGAGAAATGTAAATTTAAAGCTGTATTTTGACCGTTTATTTCAACTACTTAAAGAGGGAGCATGTGCCTCCTGGCCCGCGGTTTTCATAGGGGCCCTGGTTTCTGAGAGCTCTGTCCTGACAATGGTGTGTTTAAGTAGTCCAGGACGTCATCTTGTATACACACACACACTCCTGTCATTCACCACACGGACCCTGAGTTTTGAAGCGGAAAGGTCTGACAGTATGGAAAAGGACAAAAATACTTACACGAGCCCCCAAAAGATGAAGCCATCAGGCTGTTTTGCCTGGTGCTGTCACACAGCGTGTGGACCGCCCAGTGACCGGCAAGCATTTCCCAAGATCCCCATGCAGGTTAGTTAGTTTCTCGGTGGGCCTGAGACCCGAGTCCCTTCTGGCTGGTCCTTGGGAGGAGCCGGGATGTATTTGGTTTAGAATTCTGGGGTCCACCCACATTCCCTGTTTGCCAGCATGGCTCTGCAGCAGTAAGACCTCTGAGGATGGGAGGAGGGGAGCTGCAGGCTCCAGTGATCAGAGTGGGTGTGGAGTGGCCAGACAGAGGTGAGGTGCTTCCACAAAGGGATCTGTGAAATTCGCTCCTGACTTGAGACATCAGGGCTAGTGGAATGCAGAGTCCTTGGCCAATTTCCCGAATTTTCGTGGTGGGCAGACCCAAATCCTCCCACCATTTGAGAAAACTACAAACATGAGCGAGTCCAGGCTGAGCCTAGATTCAGAGGGGAGAGAATGTTACCCACCACCAGTCTTTCCAAGAAGTGAGCAAACAGACACATTTGGCTGGGGATACAGCCTGGTTAGAGGAGAGAAAAGGACCCCCCTTCCCCCCAACCAAACAACATTTCTCTTGAAACACCCCTAGAATGGAGGCAGAGTTGCCTGGTCTCTTGCCTCTTGCAGTCTATTCTCTGCAGGAATGTCTTCCCGCTCCACCCGTTCCTCTTGCTGAACCATCTTTGCCTTCAGGCTGGCATCTTCGAAGAGTCGGCCAACTGAGTTCATGATAAGGTGCTACTGAGCAGAAAAGGACCCCTCCTCCCCCCCAACCAAACAACATTTCTCTTGAAACACCCCTAGAATGGAGGCAGAGTTGCCTGGTCTCTTGCCTCTTGCAGTCTATTCTCTGCAGGAATGTCTTCCCGGCTTCTCAGGCTGAGCCTCACCAATTGTTTCCGGATTAACCCTTGGTCATCCAAAGGCTGGCTCCATCTTCTCCACCTCTTTCCTCCCATTCTGCCCTGCCCGAGAGAGAAGCGGACCCTCTGCCGAAGCTCCCAGTGGAACCACAATCTATATGGGCACGGCTGCTTTAAGAAATAGCCCAGCTTCTTGACAGACTCAAGTAGTTTTACTTGGAATCTGTCCACCAAGAAATTAGGTCTGCAGAGTCAAAGCAAGCCTCCCCTGAGCTCTACACACAGCCTGGCCCGGCCGGCTGCACCTCCTATGGTGTCCGCCCTGAGCGCTGAGCGCTGTGGGCCCCTGTGCCACACGGGTGTACCACATGGCGGTTTTTAGCATCTTCCACTCCCTCCACCCATACTCAAGGACCCCAGTGTGTGGGGACCTGTGGAGTACCCTAGCTGCTCGCTGGGATCGTCAGTCACACTCCCAGCTCTTCGGAGCTTAACCCTCCCTTAAGAAAAATGTTTGGAACACACAGAGAATCGCCAGGAATTCTGCACCTTTTGTCCCCAGAGATTCCAGGGTGGCAGGGAGACTTCTGTTCCTCAGGACAGGTCGGTGACACAGCCAGCAGGTTCCATTACTACTGTCCTCTGGGCTCTCCTCAGTGAGGGAGCTGGGTTTGGACTGGAGGTTTGGGACAGGGTCTGAACGCAGCTCGTGTGCCTGAGTGGTGGGCTTGATATTTACACAAGCCACCCTGATAAGCGCACATGTGTTTTCAATGCTCTGGCTTTCTACACCACAAACATGTCAATGCGTATACGCTTGCACGCACAGACGTGCTGTCGGCCGAGCTGCGACTTGAGCAGGGTTTTGCAAATTTTATTAAAAAATTTTTTTCTTTTAACCGTGTTCCCAAAGCGAATATCTGTGAGCAACATTTCCCCGTTACTGGAGCACCATCCACCCACTGCCTCGGGGGTGTGGAGGGCCCCCCTCCACTGTCACGCCTGCAGAGGTGCTGCGTTTTGAAGAAAGCAAACAGACGACCGACTACACTCTCCTGTCACCTTTGCCAGAGCTGAGCCAGAGCGCTTGGGATGGAAAAGCAGCGTCCCTGATCCGTTAGTCTTTGCACTGCAGCTACCGAGAACAAAACCGAGGAGGCTGGGGGCTGTGCCTGAAATGAGGAAAACGTGTTAAAAGAAAAAAAGGTCTTCATGATCTCAAGCGTTTGCAAGTGTTGGGAAGGCCCCTTGCTTTTCCGCCAACCCGAGTTAATCGCAGCGTTAAACCTTCTCTTCTCCATCCTGCACATCCAACTCTTCTCCACTTCCTTTGCTTTTTCTGCCTTTCCCCCCTCCTTCCTTCCTTCCTTTATTTATTTATTTTTGGGTTTTGTTTTTAAGGGGTGTTGACCTGTGTCCAGTTCTAGTAAACCGAACGCTCTCCCAAGTGAAGCGATTGGTTAATTGCGCCGGTGACTGACGTAGCCGCGAGTGCGGCTCGCCCCAACCGGGAGCTGATTGGCTGCGCGGGAGACTCCGAGGGCTTGGCCACCCCGGCCCGGCGCCCC